AGCCAATCGCAGTCCGTTGTATTGTTTTTTGAATCATAAACATATTTAGTATGCGAACTTGAGCTTGACTTCGAGGACTTGCTGAGCTTTTGCCACCACAGGTTTTTCATTTAACTTTAAAATTGTTCGCTTACGCATTTTCCCCATGTCCGCATTTGTCCGATATTGTCTTTATTCCTTTTCCCAGTGTATTTGATTGACAAAAGCTGCGATAGACAATGACAGCTGGCTAATTACTGTGGGCCACTGCCAAAGCAAAACTGACTGCTTTCGATGCTGGTCGATTAGACAAATTCACTAAGCCATGGTGACGTCGCCATAGTCAGCGAGTTTAGAGCCAAATTGCTGCTCGCACTTAACTCGTTCACGTTGATGTTTTGTGTTTAGGAAGCAAACGAAAATTAATAACTAATACATGCAAAAGAAAATTGTTAATATTAGCACAGCGCTGTCGAGGCGAAAATGGGAATTTTGAAAACAAAAAAGTCATAATAAGGCACCACGTTGACTTTTAATGGCAAACAATTACTCGTATGTATTAAAAGCACGTTGAGCGGCTCGTATGAATGCCAATGGCAATGCAGATACCTAAATATTTACACATTAATGTGTGCAATATTTACAGTTGTAGCACATATGTATCTATCTATGAATTTTTACCGTCTACGGCAGAGTAAGTTGCTTGGCTGTCAAATGTGACAACACAATTGTCAAACAATGTAGGCATCGGAGTGACAGCTGACGGCTGAATTCCGCGTCAAAACTAAGCAGCTAATCTAACGAAAATTAATTGTTTCGCGTTTTAAGTAGAAATTAAACAGCACTAAGCCTATGGGACAAACGCATTGCCGTATTAATTATGAATCGGCATGGAATTTAGGAATTCCAGTTTGTTCGTTTCTCAAGTTTTTGCACAAACATTGAACTCCGTCACACTTGCACGCAAATTGATGTATTTATTTCATAATTGATTTTGCAATTCCCGCTGTCAGTTGACAACGATTGCGACAGCAGGTAACAACAGGTGGCAGCTCCGGCTACAGTTGGCAGTTGATTGACAAGAAGCAGCTGTTGTTGCTGTGAAGCTTGGCCGAAAAAAAAATTCCACAGGTCAGCATTTGTTGATAATGCTGGGTCTCGTTTTTTTTCGATTTCTTTAATCCTTGTATTACAAGAGAATAAAGATTCAGTGGTTTCCCAAAAATACACTCTAAAAAATCTGTTTAAAAATGCGACTTTAAATTGAGTATATTTTTGTTTATTTTAAAAAATTTTGGTAAATTTACACGATGGATATGTATTTTTCTCGTTTACACATTTTCGTGTGTCAAAATCCTTTTTGTTAGCGGCTTTGCACAATTCTACGGTGGAAATCAGACAACAGATGTGTATTTTGTAACTTGTACACACTTTCGTAGTAAATTTACGCACACCACAGCAGCTATATTACGCTCTAAAAAGTCCGAAATTTAAACAAACTATTCGTTGAAAACTCGAGCATGTAAATTTGCGAATAATAAGGTAGGAAATCAGTAACCTACCTTTTAGGTAGGAAATCTACAAAATTTTTTTTAGAGTGTACCTCGTGACTGAGATCGCCTGATTTCAATAGCAACAGAACTACACTGCTTTGAATTATCTATTAGAATGTTATATAAACATCGGAATTAGGGTAAATAAGGTCGCTTGGCGTGCAAAACCGCGTATTCGCTAAATGCAATACCACGAATAAGGTTACAACGAGCATAAGGAGCGGAATAAAGAAAAATAAAAAAAAATTCTAAGGGAGTAAAAATCAGCAGCAGATATTTAACGTGAATTTTTTGCTAGCTTTTCAGCTCGTTTTTAAGTTATAAAATATTCACTATCAATAATTATTTGCAACTATCGGACAAGGATAAAGGAGCGGTACTGCTGAAGGCGTAACCTCAACCAACCAAAGCATAGGCGCGGACTGGAACCTGGAACATACGTAAACGACTTGAAACGCGTTTCTTCGGTAAGCCTGCTCAATGTAATTCCAGCATTTCTCTTTAAATAAGACGTGGAAGACCCTACTAAATATGTAGGTGTAGCCTGGAACTCAGTACAGCCGACTGGAACGAACGTGCGAGCCTATTACTCAAACCGCCTCCCGGCGAAATACTTGACGGTTGTGCTGGGGTGATCGGTACTTGGACGTTAGGAGGTTTAGTTCGATGCTTCCTAATCGCAAAAAAAACATATATACTAAGATCGACTGATCGGAATAGGTGTTTCCGAAAGAAGCTAACTGTACCACCTTTCTTACGGGGTTTCTGGTGCCGGATGGGTACACTAGTGTCTCTCCACTTTTATGATGGTTAATTACGACACCCGCAGATCGTAGTATTTTATGTTTCTTCTCTACAACAGCTGCACGCCAAAAAATGCGCTGCAATTCAAACGGAAGCGTGACAGAAGCTAGAACCATCAAGTAGCTACATACATACATAGATACAATTGTTCATACTAAACATGATCATAGACACATACATACATATGTACATAGATATACTTATGTATGTACATAAAAGCTCCGAATTAGCACTACTCTGCGTGAATCGGCTATGTGCAGCTTCATTGAAATGTTGCAATTTTTTTATGGACATTACAGAAATATCTCGTAATTGCATGTACATATCTACATATGTATGCGTTTTTTATGCACAATCGCAGATTAAAAATTACATACATACTTTACTTAACATACATATGTACATAACGGCATGCCGGAGTTTTTGCGCAAGTTAGTGCGATTAATTTGTTACATTTGAGCAAAAACTAAGCGCGAGATGAAGTGGTCGCAAGCGATTGTCTGCTTTTTGTTGTAATTTTCGGCCAGGTGGTATCTATGTATTTAGTTGAGCCTCGCTGTGCATTTGATGTAATGATTCTCGAATTGAATTTAACAACTTGGCTAAATGCACATTTTGTTACAAATTTCATTGGTTTTTGAGTGGATTTATCGATAGTTAAAAGCACTGTATCAATTAAACTCTTTATTATAACTGAATTCTTGTGCGCATTGCTGGCCCAAATTGCTAAAGCGCAAAGCAGCGGCTGCCCAAAGAGCAAAAACATTCGTTTTTATGCGAATTTTCGGAATACAGAACAAAAAGTTTCTTTTTTCGAGATTACCTTGTTCTCGTCGAAGTTGTGGAGTAAAGGCGGCTTTTCTGAAATCATGCAGTTCGCATATTTCTTAACAAAATTCCTCAACAAAATTAAAATATAGAAAAAAGTGTTGCTTTGAAAATATTTAAAATGCCTACATGCAGTTCAACTAGGATTTACTATTCTTTGATTAGAAGGGGGGGGGGGAGGGGGCCTTGTTCTGTATCCAAAGGGCCTGTGTCGAACAGTAGAAAAGATGACTGGAATGGTATTTCTTCATAAACAGGAATTGGAAATTTGGCGGCTAATGAAAAGGTGGTGGAGAAGAGCAAAAAGCGTAGAATAAATACATAGCGCACCTTTGCTGTAGGTAAGAGTGGCATAACCCAAAAAATTAAAAATTTACTTAAGTATGCAGAAAATGTGTAAAAATTGCATATTTGCACCGATTACCAATAGCTATATGTATGTATGTAAATTCAAAACTTCTACCAAAACGTAAATTGTTGTTTTTTTTCCACAAACATTTTCATTAAAAACGGCCTCAAGTCCAAAAAAATTGTTGAATATAATTGTTATAAGTCCAAAAATAACAAAAAACAGGTAAATTCAAATCTTCAAAGCCGTTTTTCGCGATTTTTTTATTTTTTTGGATTATGACACTCTTGCAGCAAATGTGTGATATGTGCGCACTCATAACTAAAATCGAAAAAATTTAGAAAAGTTATATTACTTGTAAATTCTCTTTTACGGAGCAATGCAACCGGCAACATTTTCTTGCAGTAAAGAGCTACCACTTGGCACAGCAGAAAGCAGAAAAGGCAATGCTTCTCACCATAGAACTTTGCCACTTTTGGCACAGATACATATGTACGTAATTGTTTTGCATAAGCGGCTTAGGCGCTTACGCTTCCCCAAACGCGCATCCTTTTATCCTTTATGCGCCTATTGAAAGTCCTTGCAAGTTTTTTAAAGTGAATTCGCGCAGAAAATAGTTAACGTTAATATTTGCTTTGGTACATATTTTTGCGCATGTACATATATGTGCATATGTATGTATGTATGTATGTATAGCCGCATGCTGGCGTGCAAAGTATTTCGGCTAAACTTATCGTTAGACGTTAATGGCTTCTGCTAAGTATTTTTCGCCATCTATAATTAGCTTAGGTTCTTTGAAGATCAGACCTGTTGGCTCGGCTACATGCGGCTGTGGCAGTGTAGTGCTTGTCACCTATTGAATACCCAACGAAACCCTGTCTGTCGGTCATTTGCGAGTGGCTAGTGTCACCACTGAACCGCATAGAATGTAGCCGCCGACGGTGCACAAATGCCTCGACATTGCAAAGGTTCTCGAGCTTCGAATAAAATTTATTTTATTTTTAATTGCTTTGTTTATTTTATTATTCTGAGGAGCGCACACTTCCGTTTCGGTGCGATGTGTTTTTGATCTCCTCTTCTCTGATTCCGCACAGACACTCTTATTTCTAACGAGAGCTTTTTTTCCTATCGAGCACTCATTTGGCACGAACATTTGTAGCTAAATTCGCTTCGATTTCATTTAGTCATTCAGTCATTTGGGCGCTCACTCAGCCTCAGCCTCTATATTTGACTTTTAATTGACCCTTTTCAACAGAATGTTGTTGATTTGTTGCTGCTTTGTCATTCTTATTTAATAATTGAGCGGAAGCTTTGTACGTTTGTATGTGTATATAGAAATTTCAAATTCTGCACACAATAATTTTCAATTATTCACAACAATCAACAAATATTGCGCATACATACATACATACATATATTCCACATGTAAATATGTATGTAGGTATGTATAATAAAACTAAAGAAAGGTAAAAATTATTCTCGCTTACCTTCTCGTCGCATTCCCATTTTCAGGCACTTTCTTAAACGGCAATATTGGCATTGGTTGCGATGATGTTGATCGATCGGGCAATTCCTGCTCCCCCGACATGAGTAAGTTAGGTTGCGCCGCACCGAGCGCTTGAAGAACGATTTGCAGCCTGAAAGAAATATGTAGAAAAATTAGAGGAAAGCCCACAAAAATCCAGCAAAAATCAATATTCAAAATGCTCGCTGAAAGCAAGGCTAGCGGAGAAAACAAAACATCCAAAATCAAATTTTACTCTGTTTTTTTATTGGCTTAGTCCCAAAAATATCTGATTGCAAAAGCAAAGCCCGAAAAGAAGTGCAAGAGAGGGCAAAAATCAGCCATTGAGTTCACCTGTGTCAGACGGCACAAGCGGCTTACTCTCACTACATATACACACACACACACACACACACACACATGCACGTACACAACGGATTTACGGACCGCGCGAAAGAGTATTGCAGAGAAGTCCTCCGTCTGCCTTTTAAGCCCTAAATGTGCATGTGAATTGCATTTAGTGGAAGCTCTACAATTTTCGCTCCTAGCCGCTTAAGGGGCATTGCAACAAAAATCGAACAAAACTGCAGAAAAACGCCTTGAAAAATGAGACACAAATCGTCCTTCCTTTCCACCAGCCATTTTGTTGAGAGTCACTCAAGGATTTAGACGTTGTGGGCAAAGTAAAGTTGAGAAAACGAAAGACGATTAAGCAAATGTAAAGGAAAAAATGACGAGCATTATGTGTGCATACGCGCTTCCATTTTTGTGTGTGTGTACGTGTGTGCGTGTGCCTGAGCGCTTTTGTGGTTTCCTGGCAGCCATTAGCCATAAGCCAGCGTGGCAAATGAGCAAAGCTTTGCGCAAAATCCAAGAAATGCACTGCAATCAGTGCAGCGTGTAATCAAACACTTTTCAAATACAACGAGCTGCCCGCTCCCACCTTTGGTGTTTGCCTTCCATCAGCGAGTATGTAACTCAAGACGCAACAACTCAATTGTTTAGGCCAACAAAAACAGTTCTTTTCAAAGTGTATATGTACTCCAATTTTCTTGAATTTATAGTTTTATTTAACTTAGGAACCCAGCGCATAGACTTGAGAAACTAAGTTAGATGACTTCTCAATTCCCTAAGGGTTAGCACAGAGCGCTGTGAGCGAGTCAAAATGCGATATCAATTATTTAATTCTAGTGTACGGGCAGCATCGATACCGAATGTTGTAAGTACTCGATTCTTAAAAACGTCGGCAGATCTTTGAAATAATACTAAGAAAACGAATATTTTTCGTTTAAAAACGGAGCTCAATATCGAGCTTTTATAAAATGCTTCAATATGCATTCACTCTGTATGCAACTAGGCGCAACCTCTGTGACTCGCCTCCCAGTCAGCAAAATAACCCTAAGCCTGTTCGAAAAATGGACAGAATTGCGGCTAAAATCCGGATGATCAATTCATTTACTGATTCAATTTCTAGAAGTTTTTCGGACACGTCTGCGCACTGGGCAGAAAGGGAAAGAAAGTGCTAAGTATTTAGATATGTGCTTTACGTTGTTTTTCAGATTAATTTCATTCTTAGAATTCGATTTTATTCTGCACTTCGCAGATGCTTGTTCAGAGTTGGGAAACATAAAAAATACTGCTTACTGGAGGAGGCTAAATTCTTAACTAAGCAGGTTAGATACAGATGCGATCAACCAGTGCCCAGCATGCGAAGAGTCACTCCACGACTCGAGACTAATAACCCTATCCATATGGCTTAACCCAGCGGTAGGACAGCAACAACAACAAAATAATAAGTTTAACCATTTAATCCTAACATCTAACACTTGAATGTGAAACCTCCGGGTTGTTGAGCTAGATCAGTACCATTATTGAAATAAATAAATAAACAACAATTATTTCAGTAATACATATCGTATGTATGTATTATTAATATGTTACCTGAGATGATAACTGAAACTGAGATCTTCTGAAACTTACCGAATAGAATAAAAATACCAAAAACCTTTGAACGCTCAGCTACAGCCGGATCAGTTCGCACCCTAAGTCCCACACACAAATCGATTTTGAAAAATTTTGAGTTGTGATTATTTTCAAAATTTCGACATGTTAATTTTGAATAGAATTGAAATCGGTTTCCGAGTCTTTTCCTGATAAGAAAAATGTGTCGAAAAACCCATCGTCGACAAAACGAAAATTAACTTACCGGCTCGGCAGTTTATCTGCTGGGTGAGAAAGCATCCACACATACATACATACATGCATGAGCCAGCCAACATTCAATCTGCAAATAATTCATAGAAATTGCATAATAGGACCGCAATTGATATTGTTTGCAGGTAGACGCTTGGCCTGGCCTGGTCGAAAGCGTAATATGACTACATTAAGTGCGCCAAGCGAGGCGGCAAATCGCCCGTGTACTTGCAGCATCCTTCGGTTAAAACGGCAAACGACTTAAAAACAACAATAAAAACACTTGAAATGTTCTATTTATGCCAAGCACGCCAGAAAATTCCCAGGCCAAAGAGGCGAACGTGCTGGCGCTGGTGGGCGAGATGCGCCAAGAAGCAACGGCAGCATTGGCCGGCAACCAGTTTTAGTAAGTGACTGTTGGGTGTGCATGGGAGAGTGTGGCAACTGGCGAGCTGGCAAACAACTCCACAATAGTAAGGGCTCAGTGCATTGCCAAAAATATGAGGAAAAAACCCCCACGCCCCAATAGCAAAGTGAGCAAGCGAATGCGCGTGCGCGCACAACAACACCACCAACAAGAAGGCGAAGAAGTTGGATGACGAGAAACGGTGAATCAAAACAAAGCGAGGAGAAATCGAAAAAAAAAATTGGAAATATAAAAAAGTTGTGGAGTTGCTGCAACAGCAGCCATAGAACAACACCAACACACGTCGAACTGGATAGCGTCGAAATGAAAAATCACAGCCGACCGACCAGTTGACCAGCTTAAACTCGGCTAAAAGAAACGCAACACGCGCACACACTACAAAACACAGCGAACGATGCGTTCAACCGTAAGAGGGAACAAACTGTGCAACGCATCAGCAACAACGACAACAACAACAACACTGCAGCAACGCCAAATACAATACAATACAAATATGGTTGTAAGCGGCAGCATTTTATAAGCGCGTCCATAAACAAATCGCCGTTGCAGCCCTCAAAATGCAATAACAGTGAAACAGCAATATCAGCCACAACAATAACAATGTAAACAGAAACAATTGCTGCAATGCCAAGCCAGGCTGCGATAAAAACGCTAAATCATGTTTTAGCCTTTTCCATGTCTGCCGTTCAATAAACGGACGGCGCGCTCGAAATTGTTTTTCCATTACATATTTCGTGGGTCCACCCTTTTGCGGTTATTGATACCCCCCAACCCGGCATGGCGGAGGCAGAGCGGCAGCGAGCACGGCAGTGCAAACACATGTACACATCAAAATGCGGGCGTATATTTATTTACATACATAACTGGGAAAATGTGGGTGTGCGAGCTGGTAAAAATCTATGGTAAACATATCGATCGAAGTTTCTCGGCAACCAGGCATGACCTCGGCGATGTGGGCTACCAAAACCAGTCCAAGTTATTGGAAGCTGCGTACTTGGAGCATTGCAACAAAGGTTTCAATGCATTGAGTTGTAACTGCGCTCACAATTCTCACGCGTCACCTACGATAAGCGTCGTATGAAGATCATCACCGGATTTGGCTGTCTTCCATTGATCTGCTGATTTATAGTGCGAAAATGAGTCGCCGAAATCCAGAAACTAGTCCGCACATCTGCTGCTTAATGCCAGCAAAATTACATACTGCAACACAAATCAAAGCTCGCCTGCGCGTCCTTCAGCCTCTTCCTTCAGCCTATTCGGAGGGCAGATCTCTTTTGCGCTGTATCTTCATCTGCGGCTGGGTATCTTCATCAATAGGCCTGGCTAGCACCGCATGCGGCGTGAGTGCGCAAAGCTCCAGATGCTGCTGAGATACGGGCGCATATGGGCAGTGAGCGCTGCACGTATCAGTGCGATATTGCGCAAAAGTGCAGCAGAGCAAGAAAAATGAAACGAGAAGATAAAAACAAAAACACAAAACAGCCTGACGTCCAGGGTGCTTGGCTGAGGTGTATTTGCTATGGCAAGGAAGTAAAAAGGCGCAACGAAACTGCGGCTTGGAAAAAAGTCGTGACTTGAACAATATCGTTGCTGCGCGATCGTATGGATCGTTTATTGTTTGTACGTGTGCATCAAATGCCTGGCTACGGCGCACACCCTCACACTTGGTCGGCTGTGGTGCAATATGGGGCCAGCGCTTTATTGAAAGCCGAACGTAGTTAGTTAACTCGAACAGCTGATGCCACAACCAACACACATATCTCCACACTCACTCGAGCGGTACATATGTACATACTTATGTTTGCTTGTTGTAAAATAGGCGATGCTTGCAACATGCCACAGACACAAAAGCGTTGCCACAAAACAAAGAGCCGAACTGTTGTTGCTGATGGCAGCAGGTAAGCCGAGGGTGGGAGACAGGGCACTAGTATTTTGATGATGATTTTACAGCTTAAAAGGAATTTTATGAGCATTTACTATTGTTTGAAATATGGTGAGAAAATGTGCTTTGAGTGTTGGTGCGGCTTGGTGCTTGGCATGTTCGCATGAGTGTGCGAGTCGCTGGTTGAGTAATAATTTTCAATAAAAATCGAATGCAGAATAGGCTGGTCTTCCTATGTATTTCTATTGGCGTTGGCTGGCCCATTTAAAACTGAGTTCCCTGCACGCCCGAGATTTTCCCTTCACACTTTCTACTCAATTCGACTTTATTCCGCCTGTCATCAGGTCTACTCAATCGGCCGGTTTGATCGGTAGACAAACAGCTCGTCAGCCCTGCAGCTCAACATCAACATTGCTTTTGTTACCGTTCTTTACTAGACTACATTCTTGCTAACCACATCGCCGGCCCTTTTCTGTGCTTCGTTTTTATCGCAGACACGGTAACAGCAAACGAAAACGTGCTTTTAGATGAAATCCTTTTGAGAAAAAGCGAAAATTGCATTGCTGTTGCTGCTCCTGCCCATTACCGTCAGTTGTCGTCGGTGTCGCCCGAGGTCCGCATGATACACATG